ACTAGAGTACACTAATCCACTCTGAATGTCGAAAAGCATGCTTTTGGAGGATGAGTGCATTTTGAAGATATCAACAAATCAGGATCTCCTGTCCACATCTATCCACATAACATCACAGTCACACATGGAGAACATCTCATCCTCTTACATGGTATTATGCAGGAGGAGATGTTTCCAATTCACGGGGATAATGTGTTGTGGGTAGATGTGGGCATAGTTCTCGTGGGCAGGTGATCCGGAGTCCATTGATGCATGGTGAATGGGCGAATGGACCTCCATTGATGGGCCTTCAAAGGCTTCTCAATGCATCAACTATTTCTGACAAGGAACTTCAGCCGTCATTAGGCATTATTAACTTATTGTTATAGTCTTATAGATGGTCCATTGGCAGGCTCAGGCGGGTTTTTTTCCTAAATATGTTTTTATTTTATTTTATTTTTTTATTTAACTGAAGAGTAACTCAGTTGGTACGTTGGATGATTTGTCCCAGCGGAGATGCGGCTTTGAGTCCCGCTATCATCATAACTGAAGAGTAACTCAGTTGGTATCGTTTGAGTCTTCGAACGATACGTATCAACCGATACAGGCTGATACGCGTTGATACTTTAAACCTTGGGTCCGAATGGCTGATTTATCAATAGTTAAACAGACCACTTGGATCGTGAGTGGACATCATAAAGAATAAAGATACTATTATAGATGGGCTCTTTCTGGACCTATGCAAGGCGTTTTCCAAAGGCTTAAACAAAACATTTGTTCATTGTGTTATGTTTTGGGTAGGATATTTTGGCCTTATACATAAATAGATGGGCCCCCGATGGGCCCAACACGAATTTCAGACTAAGTTCACTAGATATTTATCAATAGATGGGTACTTGAGTGCATATGCTTTTTGGGAGGATTGGGTTATTATTTTAGGCTTATACGTAAATAGATGGGCACTTAAGTGCATATCTCTTTCTTTTGGGCCTGCGCTAACTTGGCTTTTATATAGAATAGATACATAGGCCCTACGTGGGCCAAAGGCAGGCTTATTTGTCAAAACCATGAATTTTAAACTGCCATCACTATACATTCCTCAAAATATGGGCCCTTGGTGGGCTGCATCAAGCTGTTTTGGTAAAGCCTAAACAAAAATAAAATGAACATGGGGCATCACTGGGCCTTCATAGTTATCGTTATACATGGACCCTTGGGGTACCCAACCAGGCTATTTTCGAAAGGGCTAAAATAGCAAAATTATTAAGCATGTTTTTACTTTTTTTGGCTGGGCTATTTTAGTCTTATTTATAAATTGATGGGCCCTTGGTGGGCTCAATATGGCTACTTTGTCAAGCGTTAAATAGGGCACTTGGGTGGTGACTGGGGATCATAAAGTTACTGTTATAGATGGGCCTTTGCCAGGCCTGTCAGAATGTTTTCTAAAGCCTTAACTAAAACATTTGTTCAGTATGTATGTTTTTTCTTGGGTAGCATATTCTGGCCTTATTCATAAATAGATGGGCCCCTTCTGGGCCCAACCAAGCTACTCTGTGAGGTTTTAAAAATCACTTAGCTTATGTTTGGTTTGAAGGAAAAGGTAGAGAAAGGAAGGAAAAGATAGGGAAATTAATACAAGGTTTGTATTAAAAAAATATTAAGTGTATATATTAATACAACGTTTTAGCTTGTTTGGTTTGTAAAGATTTTCCTACCTTTTTCTTCCTTTACCTACATTTTCCTTCAAACCAAACATAGCCTTAAAGAAACATTAAGTGTATATATATTTTTCTTGAGTAGCATATTTTTGGCTTATTTAAAAATAGAAATAGGATTTTTTGGCCGAGGTGGGTCGTTTTGGGCTTATACATAAATAGATGGGCACTTAAATACGCATCCTTTATTTTTTGGCTAGGCTAATTTGGGTAATACATAGATGCATAGGCCCTACGTGAGCCAAAGGCAGCCTGATTGTCAAACCCACGAGTTTCAAACTGCAAACACTATATATTCCTCAAAACACGAGTCCTTTGTGGGCCCCATTAAGCTGTTCTGGAAAAGCCTAAGCAAACATCAAGTGCATTTTTTTCCTTGGCCTGACCTATTTTGGACTTATTTATAAATAGATGGACCCTCAGTGGGCTCCGGATCTCCTGCTCACGCCTACCCACAATATACTACCCCCAATGAATTAGGAATATTTCCTCCTGTATAATACTATGTAGAGGATGAGATGTTCTCCATATGTGACTGCGATAAATATGAGCAAGATTTTCATGGGCAGGAGATCCGGACTCCCCTCAGTGGGCCTAGGGACAGTGATTTTGGCCAGTCTATTTTGCCAAGGCTTAAACAAACAGTCAAACACTAGGTGAAATACCAAAAAAAAAAAACAAAAATTAAGTGCAGATGTTCTTTTTTTTTCTTGTCTAAGTTATTTTGATCTAATTTATAAATAGATGGGCCCTTCCTGGGCCAAGCTAGGGTGATTTGAAGGCATACAACATGCCGAGTGCATGGGCCTCCACTAACTTACCAGTCCGTCTTCAAAGATTTGTCAAATTGGGATGATCATCTTTGGCCTTATTCATAAATAGATTTATTTAGGGATGGCAATTTCTATCCAATCTGGTGGGAATTCGCCCCTACTTGCCTCGATGGGGTGGTTTTTTTTTGTTTGAAGGACGGGTTTTGGGTAGGGTATGGTATTAGGCTAAATCCGATCCTCTCCAACCCACATATTGTTGGAAAGTATATAAACTTTATATATTAGGTATTGAATTTAGCGATATTTTGAATTTTATGTGAAGTATAATTGATAGCTTGTGTGCTTTTTAGATGTCTTAATCAAATAATTGGAAATTTTGTTATGTTGTTTGTGCTATTTTATTTATTTTTTGCTTATATATAACAAAAAATAATAGAAAGTTAGATGCAGTCTCTAAATCCAATCCCCCTACCCTTGAATGCGTGGAGGATAGGGTTTGGGAGGGTTTTGCATTTTCATGTGTGGGGATGGTTTGGATTCTCAAAATCCAACCCGCTATGGGTTTTGGGGTAGGTACAAGTTGGAAGGTTTAGGAAGGAAGATTTACAAAACCCACCTCATTGCCATCCCTATTCTTGTTATGAGTTGTTCTATTGTTTTACTTTTTTTTTCCTTTATCCCTTGGCTTGCCTTATTCTTGGTCTATTTTTCAAATCTTGAGGGGGGGGGGGGGAGTTGTCAATGGGATTTTGGTCATCATTGACCGAGATACCTATGTTTCAAATTTTAGTTTATTTTGTTGACTGCAGTACAAATGAAGTAAATTAAGACATGAAGCAAAATAAAGTAAAACCTAAAACAAAGTCAAACGAGAATTTGCTTTTTTTCATTTGTACTCCCATGCATTTGTACTAGTGCAAATAAAATTGCATTGCCACCAAACACAACCTAAGTAAATGTGTAAAACCAATTTCGAACCAAACCCTATATGGTGAATAGGACTGTTGGGTCCAACAAAATTACCAGAAATAAAGAGAAAAATAGCTATTTTTATGGTGAAAGAAAAAAATAGGTACTAAACTAGGGCTATCTTTAATACACAACTGGGACTTTGTAATATGGCAATAGTGGCCCATTCAAGTTTTAGGCTCAGTTTAGAAAGAGTATAAATGCAAATATGTACAATATAAATACATACAAAATAATACAAAATATAAGGTTTGTACTCTACATATTAAGCTCAGTTTGGAAGGAGTACAAATACAAATATATGCAGTATAAATACATACAAAATAATACAAAACACAAAACTTTGCACTCACATATTTGTATTTGTACTCCTTTCAAACGGAGCCTTAGGCTCAATTTGGAAGGAGTACAAATGCAAATATGTAGAGTGCAAAACCTTATATTTTGTATTATTTTATATGTACTTGCACTGTACATATTTGCATTTGTACTCGTTCCAAACGGAGTCTTAGGCTGTGTTTGGTTTCAGTGTAAATTTATTTGCACCGATGCAAAATTATGGCAGTGCAAATGTTTTGAGTGTAAATTTTGATTTATTTTTTGTTTCGAATTTTACCTTACTTTGTTTGGTTGCAATAAAAATAAAGTAAAATAAGACAAAGAAAAATTAAGTAAAATCCAAAACAAAATTAAAACGAATTTTGTATTTTTTTCATTTGTACTTCCATACATTTGTACTAGAGCAAATAAAATTGTACTGCAACCAAACACAGCCTTAGGAACAACCAAAGCCAAGCTGAACGCAAATAAGGCTCTGTTTGTGATGGCTTTTGCGTTTGGATTGAACTGCTACAAAAAAGTTGCTCATGTTGAGTTAGTTGAGTACCCATGTGTGTTCCGGATAAGTTACCCGGGGTAAAGTTGCATTACAATGGTTTGGGTTTCCGGCTTTTCACCAAACACAACTTCTTGTCTTCTTCCATTTTTGTATGGGGCCCAGACCCAACTCAGAATATCAGAAGCCACGTCCTGAAAGCTATCCCAAACAGACACTAAAATCGGGACAAATAATCCAGATCCAGACCTTTATAATTGGGAAAGTTTGTTTTAGGTTTGTGGGGCCTACATGGCTTTTAACATCATCCTCTCAAATGTGGTAAGTTTTAGACCAATAGATTATTGCCACGTTTCGCTACTATCACAGCCTTCACAGGCCATTGCTTACTTGACAAAAAAAGGAGAAAATAACAACCAAACAAATCTTTTTTTAAATCAGTACAGCCAAAAACGGCCATAATTTTCATAAAAAGAATGAAGTGCGTGATTAGTTGGCAGGAATCTTACCACGTCCGAAGTTAATAGGAATCTTGCCACGTCAGCGAGTTAATTTGGGTTGCCAGCTCGTGGAGAACTCTCCGTCTCTATCTACCAAACCGTTTTCCGGAACGAGGCGAGACATATCCATGCAGCCAAACAAGACCCTTGAAAAACCACTCGTGAGAAACTGTTCAGTCTGCACGTACGCATTTGAGAGGGAGAAAATAGAGGGCTTTTGGAACGACATTTTCTTACCTGAAATTTAACGGAAAACTTCAGACAGAAGGAAGAATAAAGGTGCTCGGCGAGAGACACAGAGATAGAGAGAGAACGCGATAAAAGAGAAAAGCTCTCTGCAACTAAAACCGAAAGAATCAAAAGGAAAAAACCCTAATCATCGAAGAAGTATTTTAATCGATCGTACGTAGATTCATGGCGGAACAGGGCACTTCGGCCGATTCATACATTGGTAGCCTCATCAGCTTGACATCCAAGTATGAGATTCGCTACGAGGGCGTTCTCTACAGCATTAACACCGAAGAGTCCACCATAGGATTACAGAATGGTACGTCCGGGGATGCCCGTCTCGTTCTCGTTGCATTTCTTTGAGAATCCTTGCAAGGCTTTGCTTTACGAATTCCGTGATCGAAAGCGGATTTGGGTACAATGTGTTTGATTTTGATTGATAATGCGGTGCTAAAGAATTCATTGCCTGTGACTAGAGTCGCTTACAATGCAATCTTTCTGTTGTTTCCTTGGGATTCTGATGTTCTTTTTTTCTAAATAGGTTACTAAGATTTTGCCATTTTAAAGAAAATTCTGCGCCTTTAGCTGAAGTAGAAACGCCGAAGAGTGGCGACAAAATTGAAGGAAGCGGCTATTAGAAGCATCTTTTATTGTTTAAAATATAATATATTTCTGTATTCGGGATTTTATGTTTTCTTTAATGCTTTTTTTAATGTTAAATGGAATCAGTATCAATTGTAGGCGTCTAAGATGCTTCGTTGCACGTGGTAGCAGAAGAAAAAGGGAAAAGCAGAGATGTCACTGGCACTGTTGTGGAAAAAAGAAATGGAAAAATAGAAAATAAAATCAAGAGCATATATTCTTTTGTGAACGAAGGAAGGATAAAACAAATGATGGTACTTTTCAATTGTATGGAGTCATGTCTGCTCCTTATGGAATATAGCTTCTTAAGATAATGCAAGTTATTAAATGATCAGTCAACATAAGAAGGATTGAACTATCTAAAGAGAAACTATGGTGTCCTTTTTTAATAGATTGAGAAGGTAGAATAATTAGAACAATATTCTGTTCTACTCCTAGGGCTGTCAAACTTGATAGTCATCAAAAGAGTGAAAGATGAGTCCATATCTTCTCCTTGTATTCTTTTATGGACCTTCCTGTGTTGGGAATTTGTTGGAATATATATAGCTTCATGAGATATTTATTAACAATCAATGAAGTTGCTATTTGTAAGGTGTTAGTAAGGATTTCATTCACCAAGTATGGTCTGTAATGTGCACATAATGTCAAAACCACAATTCCAGCACAACATTATATATCACAGTTCAAAGACTTGTAAGGGCCCATTACTTAACAATTGATATGGAACAACAGAGCAGAATGTTAGAACGGGATTCATTTAATCAGTCCTATATATTTGGGGCAAGGTTTAGTTGAGTTGACTTGAGAGTTCACAGACTTATAAGATGTAATCATAGAGTATTACATGTTTGGAAGGAGTCCATCTCTTACACATCATTTACCCTAGAATCAAGTGAGTTATGAGTTGCACATTGTCATCTGACCATTTTACCATATTAATATATATTAGCTATTATTACTGAGCACTTTGGAAAGAAGGTTTCTGAGAGTGATCACTTCATGCTAGAAAATGCTAAAGGTTAGGGCCATCTCTAGTCTACCCCTCCCAATACCCCAGATAGCCATTAGCCAGGAACAACATTGGTTAAAGACCCTCTTTGATTGATTTTCTATCTGAGAAGAAAGGAATGCCAGGTTTCAATGGATCATGTTGGCTTATCTTAAGCCATTTTTTTTTTGATCAATAGCTTAGCTTAAGCCATCAATTATGTGATTGTTGCTAGAGTCACACATTAGGCTAAGGTGTTGGAAAGATCCCATGGGATCATGTGGATTCATTTGTTTCAGATTGATGTTCTGTATAAAGATGTACTTCCACTGGTTGAACTTGTGTAGATATTCCTTGATCAAGTAGACATCATTGAACTGTACTTTGGTTGGTTTTCTATATGAAATTTGGGACCATTAGGCATTGAGGGAATCTTAAGAAGAAGAGCAAATGTGGGATGTATAATGAACTTATTGGCAGGTCAAACTGTTGCAATGTCCATAGGGAAGACTGAGAAGTGCTGGCAGGGAAGCTGTAAGGCAAGGCTTATGGAGTTTTAGTGCACCATTTAAGTTTCAGGGGTAAAAGAACAAAAGGGAAATCCTACTGAACCAAGATATATCTATTCATACTTTTATAAATAAGGAGGAAAAATACAGGGGAAGAAGAGAGAAGAAGGGAAGAACAATAACCATCACTGAATCAGCACTAGCAAGGTGTGTTGTTGGCATCACCATTAATAATAGAGTAGTTTCAGTCTTTCAGGCATCAACATCTTGTCCATTGAAGGATTCCTTCCCCAACTCGGAAAATCTGTGCAACATGATTTGTAAATGGAACTTTATTTTGTTGTCTTAATATAACTAGTGAAGTGCATCTTTGGCAAGAGCATGGGAATGAGCTTTAAATGCAATGCTAATCATCCTACAACTATGAATTATAGTACTCTCATGGATTACTATTTTCTATTTTCACTTTCTAATCCCAGGCCCAACTTTTACAAGGACTACACTCAACCTTAAATTGGAAAAAGGGTGGTTTTTGGGATTTATGCATTTCACAACTTACCTATTTCACCATGTTGTAACATCTATTTGATGCAGAATTGGGAATGTATCATGTTTGGTTAAGTTGATTATTCATGCAGAAATGTTCCTTTAATGATTTGGGAAGAAATCTGGGAAGATGGATTGTCCTTGAATTTCCATTTTGACATTTCTTGAGTCACCATTCTGATCTGGTCTATTGAAAGTAAAAAGGGCTGACCGATTTTCTGAGGACCATATCTTTATTTATAATAAATTTATTAATAAAGTTAAATCAGTTTAAAACACTCAATCAGCATATGTCCTCCAGCAAACATGTTTTTCAATGAGGTGATGCATAGAGTGGCGTCTTCCTGATTCATGGCGAAATGCATCCCTCCAAGACACCCACTAAGTTTCCTTGTTTAAATTTAAAACTACTTATGCAGTAAACATATATCACAGAATCACTACAGATGAGAAACCTGAAGATTATTATAAGTGATAACTTGAAATGCACTAAAAGTGGTAATTGAGTAATACCATGTACGGTTTGTAAAATAAATCCCTAAGGTTACAATCTACAAATTCCTAATTTGTATAAATGTACCCATAAAAGGAATTAGAGTTACTGAAAAAAGGCCATTACCCAATGCTGGTGCTGCCTTATGGGGTCTTAGGAGGTAGTGAGGTACGCATGATCTAATTCAGATCTGGATCTGCAGAATCCCTATTAAATGTGTTGTCCCTGTTGTAGCGAAGTTTTTCTAACTAATACCTTACTTAGTTTTCTTATCTGTATGCATGCAAATAGTTGATTTCTATTTCCTCTTCTCTCGCTTTGTCCTTGCAATCTCTAATTAAACTTTGAATGTTACATGGTGGTATTATATTATTCTGTATTTCTGTAGGCTCTCAATGATTAGCTTGGAGTCTCCTATTCATATCTTCTTTGCTCCTGTTTTCTTTACCATTATGTGTGCCTCCTTTGCTGCCCAAGCTTCTGTCATGTTTATCGAGGTGATGTCAACGTGCTTAGGCGTTTTGGTGATTATCTGCCCCAATGATCCCTTGCAATGCATTCTAATGTGGTTTGGCCATCATTGTTCCTCCTGATGTGTCAAAGTTGATTGTTATTTGATCACTTGGTGGTTTCTATTTAACCCTTACCTGACCTTTCTACTTTTATTTAATGCCATTATTGGAGTTCATAAAATTCCTTATACTTTGTTGTTGCCTTTTTGTATTGTTTGAGATGGACTCAATTCCGTATCGTTGAAGGTCCTCCAATTTTTGTTCTTCCAAATTGCCCATAGTAGGACCACCACCTTTTCTGTTAGGGAGAGAGAGAGAGAGATTACAATTCTGTTATACCAGCCTCTCTACTTGTCCAGTCCACTTGTCTAGTTTGTTATTTAGTTTGTTCTAGTGGTTGGCTGTTAATTCTGTTGTACCAACCTCTCCACTTGTCCAGTCCACTTGTCTAGTTTGTTATTTAGTTTGTTCTAGTGGTTGGCTGTTAGTTACATTCTTTAAAGGCTGGCGTGGCCTTTTCTTGTACACTTGTATTCCCTTTATTTGTGTCTCAACAGTCCCTCCTCCCTTGAAAGTGACCTTGCCCTCAAGGTCAAGATGTGGGAATCTATTCTGTAAATCCAAGTAAGGTTCCCAAGTTGCATCCTCAATTGGGAGACTTGACCATACCACCAATGCCTCTGGTTCAATGTGATTCCCTTTGCATATCCACCTGAAATCTGTTATTTGAGTGGGCTCAGTTTGAACTTGGCCATCTTCCGAGAATGATGGGAGGGTGGTTGTTGTTATTGCTCCTGTTTTTGGCCATTTCTTCAATAGGGATACATGGAATACAGGGTGTAATTTTGATGTTGCTGGGAGGTCAAGCATGTATGCCACCGACCCAATGCGTTCCACAATCCGAAATGGGCCGAAGTACCCTAGGGCTCAGTTTGTTCCACCGGTGGCCTGCTACTGAAACTTGCTTGTATGGTTGTAATTTAAGGAAGACTTGCTCCCCAATCTGGTGCTGGACAGGCCTATGCCTTCTGTTGTAGGAGTCTGCCATCCATTGTTGGGCTCGATGGAGGTAAGATTTGAGATCTTGTAACACCCTATCTCGCTGGAGGAGTTGGTCTTCTACTGCTGCTACTGCTGTAGACCCTTTCTCATAGGGGAGGTGGGTCCCGTCCATATAGAGCCCGGAAGGGAGTCATTCCTGSTGCACTATGATACATGGTATTGTATGACCATTCTGGCCAATGAAGCCACTTGAGCCACTGACGTGGCCTATCCCCTGCATAGCACCTTAGATAGGTTTCCAAACCCCTGTAGTCGAAAAAGTTCTGCCCAGAAACGACTCATAAAAATAGGGTCGCGGTCTGAGACAATAGAGTTAGGGGTACCATGCAGTCGTGCCAC